GATCCGGACTGTGTCAGAAAGAGTGACTGCCATTTGGCTGCGACATTACCCTGCCAAATCAGACATATCTTTCATCATTTTCAAAGAAATTGTACAAAATCTTCGAATTTTTGAAGTTAGCGTGTTTCACTTCATACGTTCTTACCAGACATGCCCAAATCATCAGTTGCTGCCATGATATTCATCCCGACCACTTCATCCCCACGGCTAGGCGACCTGTACGTTAAATTTGTATTGATAGGGCAGCGGGTTATGCTATAACTCATATGTGACAGTGTTTTTGCACTGATTGCAACGGTTAGATGATACCAAAAATATTTTCATAAATAGGAGATCATTCCCATTCCGGATCGAACAATCTACCAAAGATGCTTATAATCATGATACCTAGTAAATTTTCTCAAAAAAAATTCAAAACCAGCAAATGTAAAAGATTCATTTCGCACCCTCAACCACGGTCCGTGATCGTCGTTAGACGTGGCAACCCTGCCAGATAGATATCCCCGACAGTCAAAAAACGAAAACAGACTAACAATAAACATTACTAGTTTTTTTGATTTTTGGACTTAAAAGCCATTACCTGTGAAACATTTTTCATAATTTTCTGTCTATGTCCATAGTAATTGCATCAGGGAGATGTAGGGATTGACACGTCTTACACATATTATCTGTGTTTTAGGATCGAGAGGACATAATGATATTATTACTTTGAAGAAATTCATTAACCCATAAATTAATAAATGATTACTATTATGACGTAAAGGAAGATGAGGAATTGGATGGAATGTATTTTATATTCTATTTTCTTGCAAAATACAGACAAATCCACACTATTAAACAGGTATGTAATGATAACTTTCAGTATATTGAAGTTGGTAAATTCGAGAGTGCCATGCATTGACAAACGTCCAAATCTGCTGCCAAATTTAACAGCTAGAAAATTGACCTATTATTTGCCACATTCCCATTCGCTGAGGGGGATAACGGATTCTTAAATGTAAACCTATAACATATATCAAAATACATGAAAGTTGTCCTGCTTTTTCGGTACAAAAGCATCATGTTGGAATCAAAAAGTGGTCTTGTTTATAATACAGTCGAATTTTCACGATTTCATTCAATATTTCAATAGATATCACTGATATTCAGAGACCTTTGACAGCCTCCGTCAAATTGCATTTCGATAAGGTCTTTTCCTGTTGGTCCAACTGGCCGTTAAATCTTAATGTTGGTGAAATTAGCCCTTAATCATTTTATTCCAATTATTTTATGGTGTGTATAGAGAGGACTAAAAGCAGCGTTATCATTTTTTTTGTCGAAAAATGCATTTTTTGTGCATTTTTCTTCAATTGTAGCTTGTTAACAGATATTAGTACAGCTCTGAAATTGTATGTGAATAATCCACCTTTATGTAAAACTCAAGCGGGTGATTGCTTTTAGTCTCACTTTTTCTCTTCGAAAAATCTTTTTTTTTTCTTGAAACCTCGTTTTGCAGGACGTTGAGCTTTCAAAGAAAGCAAATATTTTTTGAAGAGAGAAACTGATAAGGAATTAAGTGGTCACCCGCTTCGTTCTTTCATAAAATAAATCCATACAATTTACCTACCGTATTTCCTTACTGTATTGAATGATTCAAAGATTGCATCACTACAGACATTTAACTTCTAATCAGGGATGTTCGATACGATCCGATATTTAGAAGCATCGATACTTTTGCTTCCAATACCCGATATTTTGTATCGATATGTTTATATACGATATGTAGGTGTATCGATACATTTCACGAGTATCGTTATCCTTCGATCCGGACTGTGTCAGAAAGAGTGAGTAACTTCAGATTACTTCTCTTCTTTGTTTCCTCGCACTACACGACCTCGCTTAATTTATTTTGTATTCCAGAGCTGCCACGTTACTGGGTTTTCCCCAAAAATGAGGGAATTTTCAAACCATTGTGGAAAATTTACTGTATATTTTTTTCTGGGGATTTCTTTTGGGGAAACATATTTTACTGGGGAGGTATATTATGTAAAATTTAATTGACGCAGGTATGCCTACAGCTCAAATAAATTACAATAAAGTATGTTCTCTGCAAATTCATTCTATATGAAGCATATATTAAACAAATTTATTATTTTTTAAATTTTATTTTAGTTTGGAAGGACAAAAACATTTTACATGCATTGCACTTAGAGCACCTTGTTTTTGCTCTATCATGACATAAGACACATCGAGTTGGCTTTTCTTGTGGTATCAGAAAATGATCTAAACGATCATAACGAATATCTATATATTCACTTGCCGAAGGAAGTCCTCTAGAAAAATATGGCGGTTTCTTGTTTTGTTATAACAAGGCTGTGGCAAGCCGCCGTCTAAATAATAATTGATCCATATGTCCTCCATGCGATCTATAAAGTTGCCAGGAATTATGAACAGCCATATCAATGCAGCGGCTGATCAATGAAAAATACCACTTTTTACCTCGGATGGAAATACGATACAGACCACTATTTTGATCACAACGATCAACGCCGCCCATATTTGCGTTGTATACATTTACAAGATGAGGCTGTCCTACCTAAAATCAAAAGCATTTTTGAAAACATTGATTTTCTTGCAGATTGTGTTTCTTACATGAATATTTTTTTTATCCTTTTGAGAGTATCGCTTTACAAAGCGAATTGGTTGCAATCCTGCGGCATTTGAACAGAGTGTTACTAAATTATTGTCATGCCATTTTACTGCAATTATGTTTGTATCGGAAATTTTGTTGTAAACGTAACTACCTCTTTTTCGCTTTTCATAATTTTAGAATAGCTGAATTGGCGCCTTGTAAACAATTTTCTCTAGCAGTACCAGTCGCAAAGAAATTTTTTTCTGTCAATTTTACCATAAGAGGGAGATAAGTGAAAAAATTGTCGAAAACTAAATGAAATTTTTCATTTGGCCATTTTCTCCTCAGTGCATCAGAATACTCTAATACCACAACAGCACCAACCCCCAAATCTGCATAATTCTTACTAATCTTGGTTAACGACCTTTGACAAGGTTGAACCCAGTAAACGTAGACTAGTCTCGATGCGCCAACCCATAATTTATAGCCGCATCGTATAGGTTTTCCGTGAATGAACTGTTCGCATGAGTGTCTCCCAAAATAAGGAACCATTGCCTCATCTGCACTATGCATTTCAGTCAAAATTCCATGTTCCATAAATTTTTGATTCGGGCTCGCAAATAAAGGTCTAACTTTTGCAAACTTAACTCCTTGCTGTAAATTGTAGTTATCTACTAAATGGAAATTTGACATAATATACTCAAATTTATCTCGTGTAAGCGCTTCTGTGACGAGTTGATTATTAGCATCTCTTTTACATTCCCTGCACATTCTTCTACGTGGTACATCGGCATAACCACTCAATGTTAGTGTTCCAATAAATGTTGTTTCAGTTGTTATGCGTGTTATAAGTTCGCCGTCAAAAAAAAGTGAAAACCATTCAAGTTGAGTCTTAGAAGAATTATTTTGTTCAAGAATTTCTTCAAAGTTTCCTGGAACTTCTTGTGGTAGATCCTCCTTCACTCATTTGTACGTTTCGCGTTTCTTTAGCTTTTTATTTTTTATTTTTTTAGCCAATTCAGACAATGGAATATTATCTTCGGAATCAGATGAAGATATGAGGTATGTTTATCTCAGCAGGTGCTTGTAATTGTGAACACGGTAGACTATCAGCTGACATTACATTCTCATCGCCGGAGTCCTCGTCTGTGAGAATGTCAGAAGCATTGATTGGAAGCATCAATGTGATATTATCCACATTTGCTACTACATCTTCATTATCCTCCAGCATAGCAAGGGCTTCCTCCAGAGAAAAGCCCCTAAAAATGAAACTGGCATGTATTTTCCTGGCGAACAATATTTTGCACACTCAAATATAATTGGCATTGTAACTGGAAAAAAGCATGTGTGTTTTATTGGTAAAATCAATCAAAACATTTTTTTATTTACGTAAAGACCATATATTTACTTATTCGGCAAATGGTACTCCATATTCAGCCATATCACTAAAAATAAAAAAATTCATCACAAAATCGCAAAAAAATCTCAATACAAGGATAACACCCAACCGCACGTTACGATTTACTAAGGCTTACTGGACACATCTGTGCTATTACCGCGTCAAAATAAGCACAGGTCGTTGCAAGTCGCGACTTGTTTACGGTGTACCATAAATTGTACGCAAGGCATATCTGGGTTAATGACATTACATAACGTACTTGTTATGTATTTATTTGTCTTTCAATTCGAATCAAATACTTTTACCTTGGGTATTTAGCGACATACAAAAAACATGTTGTTCGTTAAAAAAATATTTTAGGATCCAAGAATATCTAACAAATCGTAAACCTAAAAATAAATGGTATTTTTTGGGTAAGTCCTGGATATAGTTGATTTTTAGATTTCGACTGGGGAAACTGAGCTAAATGACCTGACAACCCTGTTGGATTTGGTTTCGGGGAATTACACACACTTGACACATAGTGGTTTTAGTACTGATCGGTTAAACAGTATAGTTCAAAACAGAACGTTATTGTGATAGTGATGCCTCCTGTAAGAAGTGATTTGTGGAGCTTTTTTGTAATATCGAGTTTAGGTGGTAGATATAAGTTATGCAATTGTGTGGTTTTTCACCTATTTTTGATTAGTGAACGTATTTGACAGTCTAGTCATGCAGTTGAAAAAACGTTATTTTGAGGGTTGTAGAAAAACAACTTCGATTTCCGGCAGTGTATGTTCGGTATCGGAAAGTTTCGATACTTGTGCTACGGATATCTTGTAACAGTTGCCTTTTATTGCCGATGAATCATATATTTTTGTTGTTGTTGTTGTCGCACAGGTTTAATTTGAAGTAATGCAGCAAGAACTTGAGAAGGAAGAAACAAAAGCCGATAATCTAATAATCTCCGTAGCATATTATTTTTATTCATAGCATATTATTAAATCAATCTTATTGACAAAAATGACTAGACCAGCCCATTGGCCATTTCCCAAGATAGGGCTTGTTTTTAACGGTGTATTTAGCTATATATGTATTTTTCTCACGTAATTCATAACCAAGATAAATAACACGCTTATTTGAAATAACAAACATAACACATGAATACCACGGAATAACTATAATTTTTAATTTGTATCCGTTGTTTCTCTTCTGTAATCGTTTGGCTGCCTGTATATAGTAGTCAGCATCTTCCATGTCACTGAACAATTTGGGAACTGAAACCAAATATTTCTCAATCAAACATAATCCATCCTGAACTATTTTATAATCCAAAAATTTCAATTATTAAATTTAACGTACAGCAATCGCACTCCATTTTGATGATCTTTACAGTTTCTACCACTAAGTTTATAAATGTGTAGTCAATTTTCCATGCATTTAGGTAATTAATTGAAGAATTTACTCACCCTGATATGGACAATTTCTTCTTGTGTTGCCTAGTAATTTCCCTGGTTCACCATGAGTAATAATTTTAGTATCCATCTCCACATATTTCCATAAATAACTCGGTTGCTTCCATCCCATGCTAGATCTTCCACCGTCAAGAAATCAATTCAATTTCGAAATTTTCGCCTCGGGGATTTTTTTACATCCCAACAACAATCCGGTTTGTCACTCCGGAGCTAAAAATAAATAAATAAATAAATAAATGTACATCTATAAATTGATATCACCTTCTGAACTAAAAACTATTTGTGTTGCATAAATATTATTACTCACCTATTGAACTATAATATATAATCAGATGAATTTATTATTGTTTTCTGGAATCTTCCAATGTCAAAGGCTGATGTCGCTGATGTCGAGGTACTATTCTGCGTACCGAACTACTTGCACACCTCGCTTGTTCCGCATAGTTGCCAATTTTATTTCAGAATTTCCCTATATTTATTAATCAATCAAATTTATATGCGGATATGACAGTGTTGCCACATTTATCCACGATATTTCCTTGAATTTATATTAGGAACCTTCTCATTTTGGGATTGACCGACAACGTTTGGCTCTTAATGGTCAGGCGTACAACTATATTGTCAAGTCGAAAAAATTAAATTTTGGGTTGGGACCTCCTTCCACTATCGGAGGGCCATCCTGTTCTGTTCCGCTAGTGCCAGAAGACCTGAAATTTTTCTCTTTTTTGCCTGGGGCATCTTCGTTGGATTGTGGAAGAAAATTTCATAGATAATTTCCTGGATCATTCCTCTTGTGAGTGCGTAGCATCTTTTTTTTTGTCTACCCTTGGACCCGAGAAATTCTACAATTTGTAGGATCTTATTGTCTTCAGCCGCACTTTTCGCCAGACGGAACCACGTGAAAAACCCTACCCGACATCATCTAGGGCTTTTATTTTGGGGGAATCTTCGCTACTAGAGATCCATTGACACGTTTTCTATCGGGGACCTCTTTCCGAGCAGAGACCCTTTTTCCACCATAGGGATTCTTACGTCATCGGTTTTGAAGCCTTCCTCGCCCATTTTAAATTAGTTAGTCAATAGGCTTTCGCATTAAGGGAGATCTCCCAGTTTGGTTGGCTTAAATTTTTGTTGCTAGCCGTTAGTAGATGTAATAAAATGTATTGATGTTAATTTTAGCAATTATTTACCCACACAGAAAATCTATTGCTTGTATGTATTTTTGTTTTTGTTTCTTGGGGTTTTGGGCTAAAAAGTGCCTTTCAACACCAAGGCGTCTCCCAGTTTTGGCGGATGAAAGCTGGTGGCGCCCCTAAAAAATACCCCCCCTACTCTCCGGTGTACCTGAGCATAGGGCCTAATTTGCCAACGCTAAACCACGGCTTTAGCCTCAGTAACCCCCTAGTTTTTTTTAATCGTCCATTGCCTCAATTGAGAGAAATAACTTTAGCTTAAAAATTAAAAAGTGATCCTAATAAAAAAAGAGCGTGGCAATCTTTATCCGGATATTTTAAAGTATCGATACTCTCTAAAGCGATACGAATTGATGCATGGTATCGATACTTTTCGTGGATCGTAACATCACTACTTCTAATATCAACAGTTTCAAATCTGAGAAAGTGTCAAAAATCTGTCTTAGAGCATAACAGCGACAGGTCGTACTGAAAATCTTTTTCTGGGTATAGGCATGGAGTTCCCGCAAATCAGCGGTAGCGTTTACGTATGCATATCTATGTGTCTATCTAGCAGGGCCATGTTCAACTGTTCAGAGCACATAAAAGCAAGAAGCCGGCCGCCGCTGCAACCGGAGAAGGATTTAAAACAAAGTGTACGGAATCGTAATAGTAGGGCCACTCAGTGGACAGCCTGGTTGCTTCTTATGTACGTTTCAAGACCACCAGTCAGTTACGGAGGCAGCTATACAAAATAATAATAATAAAAGACGTCTTTATTTATCCACAATTACATTTTGGTATAGCCAAATATCAGACTTACATGGCGAAGTTTAGCATGCTGCTACTCTTGCACTTAACCACATAGTCTCTAGCAGATGTTCAAAAGAATACACTATCCACAAACAGATTTGGTTCATTACATCGAAAGTAAAATTTAAAAAAAGAGAAAAAAGCAAACTTTCCAAACCCAAATGCACCAAAAAATTATTAATCTGAATTAACGATAGAATAAAAAAGAAATGAATGATTACGTAAATTATATGTTTGGAGGGTTGAGTAATAATGTTTTAACTCTTTGTCCAAAGGCAGGTAATGAAAATTCTTTATATACTTTAGGAAGGTCATTATAAATAATAGCAACATTGTAAGAAAAACTGCGTTTAAAAAGTGTAGACATATGCAGGGGTATTCTAATATTATTTTCTCTGAGAGTTCTACAGTGAACATCATTATTAAATAAAAAAATTTCCTTCAGGTACTAGGGTTTAGACGTGAGCAGCAATTTGCGAACAAAAACTGAATAGTGATACTTGACCATGTCATTAATTTTTAACCAGTTTAGAACGGGATATTTCGCTGATATATGATCAAATTTACGTAAGCCAAAAATGAATCGTAAAGAATTGTTTTGAATAACTTGAATAACGTTTTTAGTGAAATTGTCTAAACAAGTATAGTATACGATATTACAATAATTTAGTATAGATATGACCAATGCTTCAGATAGTTTTTTGCGTAACTTAAAATTTAGTAAATACCTGTTTGCTATAAGAGTGTGCAGCCGTAGGTAGATTTTCTGAGATGTTCAATAAACCTTAATTTTGTATCAAAAACAACACCAAGAATTTTTGCAGAATCCGAAAATTGCAAGATTTGGTTATTTATCTAAATGTTCAAGAGCTGTGTGTGTTACATTGTATGTTTTTCTTTGTGCGCAAAATAATAACATTTTAGATTTTTGTGGATTAATAAGAAATGACATAGGAAATGCAACACCCACTAGAAGTGCTGTAATTTTCAGCATACTTTTACAAGCTTGAGGTCTACTTATGTAGGAAGTGATCATAATTTCTACTCAAAACATACAGATATCCCTCCTCTGTTTGCTACACATTCGTTAAGTCGTTGCGGCAGTGATTAGATTAGGTGATTGATGTCTTCTTGGTGTATAGTATCTGAGGACATCTGCATTTCGTTTCGTAGAGCCTCCAGTGTTTGTAGAGAGTGCAGTGAATTTTGCAACCTTCTTCCCATCTTGTCCCATACATGTTTGATAAGGGAAGGGTATGGAGATCGACGAGGCCACTGAAGCAGATTCAACTCCGGACGCTTCTAAAAAGCCTAAATTAACACGTGCGACATGAGGTTGTGTATTGTCCTGATGAAAAAGTGAATCTTGCAAAGTTTCCAAAAAGGGAAGCAGATGTAGTTCATAAACTTCGTGGATATAGCGCTGGGCAGTCATGCTACCCCGAACAAACACTAATAGTGATGAATTTATGATTTAATTACTATTGTTGATTTTTTATTCATGTTCATATCATTTTCTTTAATTGATTTTACTGATTCAAGATCATGTACTGGGTGTTTTTCCCTAGAAACCTCTTGCAGATAGCCATTAAGCACCTACTTGATGACTGGCTCTACCAAAAAGTTCATTGATATTGCTCGTTTCCAAACATTCATTCATTTACTTGCCGTTCATCAGAACCATTATGGCACCTTAGATTGATATTCCCACAAAACCATTCTGTTTTTTTAATATCCATACATCCATAAAGTTGAATATTTTTCGTTGTTCAGAAACTTAACAAACGTCCACACTATATTCACAGCGATTAAGAACAACCCAAATATATGTCGTAGAGCTACCAGCAAACCTAAAACCTGCAGAAAAAACACAAATTTGCAATATTGTTCTTTTTTCACTGAGTAGATATTCTGGGTTATATTTATATTAGACGTTATCTGAATCACAAAACATATACACTGATTTGATTAACAGCTGATTATCTCCTGATATTTTAAAACTAGCCATATCGACAAGTGACACATAATTCTGTGGGATCCGTCAACACTTCATCCCAGTGGAGCAAACTCTGCCAACTGTCGAAATAAACTTTATTAATTCCAAGTCTTATTTTTGTTTTACTGTGCCTGCTTAGATATTCAAATACGGCAAGGAATTATTAGCGCCTGGATATTTCAGGCCTTCAATAACTCCTTATTTTAGATCTCTCCTTATTTTGTTTTTTCCACGCTTTCATGGTAGAAAGAAAAATATTTTATCGAATATCGATACCGTATACCGTGCAGCAGGCACGCCCATCACTACTTTGACAGATTGCAGAATGATGTCAAGGTGACAATCGTTATGTTGTTTTTGTTTTTGTCTGAAATAGGTAAGTAGGCTTTGTGTATTCATTTTTATTTTTATAGCGTTTCCAGAATTTCATATTTCGAAACGATTTCAAGGGCCGGCAGGGGAAAATCTTTCTCTTTCAGTCTATTTTATTCTATCCCTTGGGGAAGTGCAGAATGAAGAAAAGACTACAGTACTCAGTGGCCACTCAGTGGCTCAGTGCTCGTCTGTAATGATAATATTCAAATACTACTAAACACCTAAATAACTTTCTGGCCTTTCAATTTCGAAGCTACCAGTCCTCGCTTAGAGATGGTAGCACAGTTAAGGATAGACTCGGGGTATACGGTTACGGATGTTTATGATTTCTCTCGATATCGATATATCGTCATGAAACCATCGATGCGTAAAGGTCGATGTTCTACGTCCGGAGTATCGATGTTTTCGATTCATCAATGGATCGTCTATCGTCGCCATCCCTATATTGTGTCCCCACCAGTCACCAGTCAAAAACCTTAACCACTAATATTTTATCACTATTTATAATTCTTTTTAGCTCTTATTTTTCAGAAATTACTAATAATTTTAGGTCTATGCCTACAGTAATTGCATTATTCACCTCGGAGATGTAGGGATTAATATGTTTTACACATATCGGTGTTTTAGGCTGGGGACGACCATAATGTTTTGATTGCTTTGAAGAAATTCATTAACCCATGAATTTATAACAAATGATTACTATTATGATGTAAAGAGAGATGAGAAATTGGTTGGAATACATTTTATATTCTATTTTCTTGCAAATCCGCACAATTCAACAGGTATTTGTAGCTATAACGATCACATATACACATAGTGTATTGAACTTAACAAATTTCGAGATTGCCATGAATTAACAAACGACCAAACCTGCTGCCAAATTTAATAGCTAGAAAATCGACCTATTATTTCTCCCATTCCCATTCGCTGAGGGGATAACGGATTGTTAAATGTAAATCTATACGTATAACATATATCAAAATACATGAAAGTTCGTCCTGTTTTTCGTGTATTAAAGCATCATGTTGGAATCAAAAAGTGGTCTTGTTTATAATACAGTCGAATTTTCACGATTTTATTCAACATTTTAGTAGAAATCACTTATATTCTGAAACATTTGCCAGCTTCCGTCAAATTGCATTTCTATAAGGTATTTTCCTATTGGTCCATAATATTAATGTTGGTGAACTCGGCCCTAAAAGAACTTTTTCTGCGATAAACTGTTCTCATTGTTATTGCTCTTCCGACAGCAACAAGCCGCCCGTTCGCACCTGCCCGTATTGTGGAAAACCGACCTCTAAGTGCTAGTTGCCTCAAATAACGATCTTGTCGTTTTGTAGTCTGTCTCTGACATCCATCACCTCTAGCTCGTCGATTTCGGCCTTTTTGGAACCACGCTCGACAACGCTTGTTACAGTAGCTTCGTTTCAAATCACCCGATTAGCGATTTCTCTAAAAGAAAATCCGGCTTCACGTAACCCGATTATCCAACCCACTCAAACTAGAAAAGTTGAATGAGATTAGCACGTCTGCGAACTCTAGTCATGATAATGCAATGAAACAAATGGATCCAACACACAAAAATCACTGAATATTAAGTAAACGTATGACGCAGCGGTGGCCGCAGTGGTAGACGCTTCGGTCTCCTGAAGCCGCCGTGCGCTGCGCGGGTTCGAATCCAGAATTCTTCGACTTGAAATTAAACTCATACGAAACACAATAATCATTTAAATTAAATTGCCTAAATGGAAAAGCTTTAGTTGCGTTTTATAAAGTTTCATTTGAAATAGCCAGATGTAAGAAGCCTCTTATTATTGGTGAAGAGCTTATTTTGCCAGCTGCAATTAAAGTTGTAGAAACTATCTTTGGAGATAATTTTTCAGAAACACGTCAAAAGATTTGTCAAGGGAGACAACTCTTTAACCAAAAACTACTTCACCCTCTTTCACCCTTGGCTCCCAGGGTCATTCCCTCAAAAAATTTAAAGACAAAGTGGTATCGAGTAGTAGCTTGTTTGGAACGTCTTTCAAAGTCCTTTATTTTGACGTTTGATTTTCTAAAATCAGTCGATTCATTTTTGTGAAAGTTAGGAAAATCTTTATTTATCTTAATTTGTTCAGACGAAAATATAATTTTTTAATTTAATAAGTGTTCAAAGTGTTGCCAAGGGTTTGCCCAATCTACGATTCGTTCATAACTAGAACGGAAACTACCAACATAAACAGCAGTTCGGAAGATGATAAAATAACAACCCGAATTTTGTTCCGCATTCTTCTCATTAACACAAATGTCCTTCCTGGGCGAACTGTATTTATTGTTATACCTGTTTAGTTATTTGTTGCTGAGCGACAGAAATAATTTATTTTGCTCTCAGTCACCTTTGTGACAATCCTGGGATAGGTAAAATTAAGTTATTGGTTCAGATCTTAATTCCAAAATGGTTTAGACACTAGCCGAAAGAGTGGAAATGATTCCAATGTATGGTACCAAAGACTTCTAGAGAGGATAACTTCGCATAAGTATGTTTTGGGCCTTGTTACTAAATTTACTCAAACCGGATCTGTTGCAAACAAAAAACGTGATCATCGAAGAGTATTGAATGAAGCCGCTCAATAAATCCTAATACTTCATTACGCAAAATTGTTGCTGTGACTGGTATTTCATTAGTCTGCGTACACAGTTACTAAACTTCTTAAATTTCATCCATTCAGAATGAAAATATTGCAAGAGTTAACCGAAGATGATTTTGATAGGCGAGTTTTGTGAACAAATGACTGGAGCGATTAATGATAATACCATTCATGTAAAGAATATCTGCTTCAGTGATGAATGCACATTTTATCTAAATGGATTTGTTAATAATAATAATAATATTTTTAATAATAATGATAATATTTATTCACTCAATGTACAAAGATAACAAACAATATGAGTAAATAAATATAAAATCAAAACAAGCCCAATAGAAGGCATCCCCTGTACATGGACCAATAAATTTAAGTTGAAACTGTAGAATGCAAATGACAAAAAAAGACAAAAATTAGCTACAGTAGATTATGTTTTTAGTTGATGTTCGTATTTATGAGTTTATGAATTTCAGTCCTAGATATAGAATGTAGCCACTTTTTTAAATTTCTTTTGAAACAATTTCCGAAACGTAAATCTTTTAAGTCTTTAGGTATAATTTCATAAAATTTAGGAGGTAAATAGAGATATGATCGCTGCATTATAGATTTATGCGGTTGAGGAACTACTGTGCCACGAATTTTGTACCTGGTATAATGATTATGTTTAATTTTTTGGTCGGTGTTTACAAATTTATGGTAGTGAGTGATACTGTGTAAGAAATAAAGCTGTCTTATATCATACATTCGAACATCTGCGTATAATTTTTCAGTGGGATAAAGTTTCGGTTTTTTAAATATCATTTTTAGAATAGTTTTTTGAAAAACATCTAAATTATAGATATGTGAGGAACATGCAGCTCCCCATGCTAATATACCATATGTGAGATGAGGCTCAATCAGTGCATGGTATAATGTACGAAGATATTTTTCTGTCAATATATTCCCAAGGTATTTAATTTTGTAGGATACAAATCTAACGTTCTTTAAAATATAATTGACATGGATGTCCCATCGTAAGTGAGGATCCAAGACCACTCCAAGGTATTTTATGTTGGGCACTCTATTAATTTGCATTTTTTGATCATTAATATTGAAGGAGAAATTTTTGTAATTTGGCAGATGTCTAGCATAAGATCCAAATGGTAAAAAATGTGTTTTAGAGTAGTTAATGCTTAATTTTCTACTGTTAAACCACCGAATAATTTTGATAAAATCATTTTCAATTACATTTTTCAGATCAGACCAGTCAGTGCCTTCATATAATATTGCAGTATCATCTGCAAAACTAGTTATTTTGCCAACACAATTAATTTGGAAAATATCATTTAAATATATATTGAATAACAGCGGACCTAAGACAGTTCCTTGTGGGATACCACACTTAATATACATTTCTTTACTAAATGATCCTGATATCTGCACAGATTGTGGGCGATTTGACAAATAACTTTCGATCAGTGAGTACGCGTTTCCTCTGAAACCAATTTTCTCCAATGTTTCTAATAATAATTTGTGATTAACTGTATCGAAAGCTTTCTTTAAATCAACAAAAATGCAGATTGAAGGGATTCTGTTATCAATATTTTGATGTATTTGATTTACAATTTTAGTTATTGCGTCCGATGTAGCCTTCCCTTCTGTAAATCCATATTGATTTTCACTTAAAATTTTGAATTTTGTGAGGTATCGAATCATTCTAGTAGATAAAACTTTTTCAAAAACCTTTGCTACACTGGATATTATTGATATTGGTCTATAGTTGTTAACATCTGTTTTTGTTCCTGATTTATGTATCGGTATTATATTACCTTTTTTTAAAATTGAGGGGTATATGCCAGATTCAAAGCATTTGTTGATTAGGTAAGTGAGTGGTTCTGTTATATCCTCGGCTATAATTTTCAAATGCTCGCTTTTAATACCATCGAACCCAGGACTTTTCCGATTTTTTAAGGACATAACGGTGGTGTATACTTCACATTGCTCGACTTTATCCAAAATAAATGAGTTCAAAGTTCTTTTTGGAGGCTGAGTATTTTGTACATTTGCTTGTATATTACTTGCTAAATTTTCGCCTATGTCAGTAAAGAATTGTACAAATTCATCGCATATCTGTTGAGTATTTTTTAATACTGTTCCCGATGTTGTATTTAACTCAGTGACACACTTTAACTTTTGTTTTCCCAGTAATCTCATCAATAGTTGTCCAAAGCCGCTTAGGATCATTTAAGTTCAATTTATTTAGGTAATGTTTTCGTTTGGTTTGCCTTACAAGCTCTATAAATTTATTTTTATATTGGTTGTAGCAGTCGGTATTCTCTGTAGTTGGCGTTAGTTTCATTACATTATATAGTCTTTCTTTTTCTATTGCCGATGTTATTAACCCTGGAACTGCACACTTATTTTTTATCCTATAAACTGCACACTGGGGTCTGAGAAACCCAAGTATTTTTGTTGGATGTTATGTACCCTCATTATTATATTTTTACTTTTTATGTCAAAATACATCAGATAATTCGTAGAAGAAAATATTTTAATAATATTTTGTTCATTGGGTTCAACGTTAATTGTATTAGAACAAAGAATATTACAAATCAGTATAAAATTGCACATTAACTGAAGGTAATCAATAAAAATGCAACAAAAAACTTTTAAAAAGCTAAATACATTTTTATTGTCTAAAAAGTCATTATAGAACATAAAAAAAGTTGAAAAATGAAAATACACCTCAATAAATTTCTTAGCCATGAAACTCAGTTTGTGTCTTCACATTGGCAGCAAAGTTTAGCCCTGTGCTCTAAACAATATGGTTTGTAGCATTTAGAACATCCAAAGTTAGTTTTTCTGTCTTTACCACGTGGACATATTGCACGTCTAACCTTTCTTGGCAAATCTGTTGCTGGATGCTGTCTTTGTGGCGCATCCATTCCTAGAATTTCACTAATGCTAAGCCGAAGATATGATCGCAGCGTGGTCACTTGTGCCCGCTCTCGTAAATGTGGCTCAATTAATGAATTACTTAGTTCTTTGAGAAACGTTTTACGATTATTTTTAGTATTTTCTTTCCAATCTGGATTCACAAGAGAGAATATAATCATAGCATTAATTCCACTGGCATCAAACATATTGAAAAATATTCTCACGGGCCACCTTCTAGTTTTGCGTGATGTCGTGTAAGAATGACATAACTGGTCAAAACTATCCGTTCCTCCCTTCGTTTCATTATATGAATGTATCAGGTTTGACTTTCCAGTATCAACATTAATGGATGAATCAGGATGCAAAGTGGATAGTAAAAGCACAACTTTATTTCGCTTAGGCGTATACGAAACAAGCGTTTTGTTGTGATCAAAAGCAAAAGGGGAATGTTTTTCTTCCTAAGAAGCTTGTGGGTATCTCTCTTTTGTTTTTTCGCAGTGTTCCTAGGATTGTTAATTTATACTGATGGAACATTTCCTCACATAGAGGTATAGAGGTGGACCAGTTGTCTATGGTTATATTACGGTGGGTTCCATGAATTGGTTCTGAGAGTTTCCGAACATAATAAGTAGGTACTGGCTCATTATTCTCTACATTAACTTTTCCCACATATGGAATTGCATTAACCATATAAAAAGTTTTAGAGTCGTTCATCATCATTATTTTCATACCATATTTATCGGGTTTACTAGACATGTATATTCTGAATGGACATTTTCCCCGAAAACTGACAAGTTGCTCATCCACTGTGCAATTTTCATAGGGAGTGTAATACGACTTACAGTTTTCAATAAAAATTTCCCAAAGCTGTCGGATATGTGTAAATTTATCTACTAATTTTCTTGCAGCCCTACCATTCTTATCATCGAATCGTAAACAGAGAGCTAGAAACTGAAATCTCTGTTGAGACATTGTGGCTCGAAATAATCCATTTCCGTACTTTATTGACCATAATTCATCTAAATTCGTATTTGATAGTCGAAGGGCCCCTGCTAAATAGAGAAGCCCAATAAAAGCTTTAATCTCTACAAGGTTAGTTGGCTTTTTATAACTTTGTGGCAAGTTTTCAAAACACTTACGCACAATTTCTTGATTTGTGTGTAATACAATTATATCTAACATTTCTTGGTTAAATAATAACTCCCATGCTTCTATTGGAGAGCGAACTAATCTCGCCTGTTGTTTAGGACCGGGCATATGTAAAACAATATTGTCTCTCGTTGTGCGGCCTCTGCGTTCTGGTATTTTGGTACTCCAGCGATGACCGTTTTTGCCCATTATACTAGCAGTGTTCCTGCTCGATATACCAGGATTCTGTAACACAACTTCATCACCATCATCACTCTGTTCATTGTCAGTATCAGACTGTTGTTCATCGACATAATCTTCGTCCCTGTCAGATAATTCACCAAACAAGTCTTCGTCACTATCTGCCTCATCTTCATTTTGCCACACATTGTCGACCTCATTTTGTAACTCACGTTGCGTTAAGGGACGACGATTTTCCCAGTCAGAATTTGCCATAGCTATAAAATACAAAATAAATATTATCAACGTAAACCACACACTGGGGTCTGCCGTACCCATTCACGGATGTTAGTCAATATTCGGACGGGATAGATAGCATAAATAACAGGCAACGTCTACGCACTGTCTCTCCTCACTACAGACTGAATTTACACCGAACTATCCAGCCGAACTATTTACGTTTCTTCGAAGCACTTACAAGAGAGGGGATACCTGGGTTTCTCAGACCCCAGTGTGCAGTTCCAGGGTTAATCCTTTGGTAATTCAGGCATTTCTGCTTTTCTCTTTGTGACTAATTATTACTTTATTGGTACTAATATCTATTAGTTTTTTTATTTTCTCTATGAACAGTCCCATTACTTTGTCTATATTATTTATAGAGTATAATTGTTCCCAGGATTCTTGTTTGACATTTGATATTAGTTTTGAATTGTCGACAAAAAATTTGTAATTTTCCTGGTTGTTACTAACGGTAGGGATGTTAGAATGTTTTTCATTTGAAGATATCAGTAAAATAGTGGAGAAGTGGTCAGTAATATCGCTTTCTAGGATTATTGGTATACAAGTAATTTTGTTGGATAGGTCTTTCACAAAGCAGTGATCTATACATGTGCCACTGATGGACCTTGTAGGTAGGTTTATATAGGACAGAAATCCGTTACTTGATAGGATATTCAAGTATTCATTTGTGATGGGATCATCGTCCAAAATATTTATATTGACATCTCCCAAGAAAATATGTTGCTTTAAATGAACTTTATTTTGATTTTAAAAAAAAATTCGATATTCTTTAAAAACTCGCGGGGTTCTGAACATGGCGGACGATAAATTGCAGATACCTCAATTTTGTTATGGTTAATTTGGATCATTATGTTTAAAATTTTGATTCCATCGGTGAAAGTGAATGTATCATGATTGAAGCAAGAAATATCAGCCACTAGCCACGTTTCAGTTAAAACTATTAGATCAAAATTGTACCATATTTGGTCGAGTAGTATTTTTAAGTAATCAGTGTTGTGTTTTATACTCCTTATGTTCATATTAAAAATTCGAAGTTTTGCATCAGAATTTTGTGTACATAAATTAAGTTCATCGACGTTTTGTGCTATATTTGTTGCAATACTTGGAATTTGGAAATCATTAATGTATTTATTTACTGACATTTTTAGGTCGTCTTTAGAGATAGGAGTAGTAAAAGATGAACTTGAATTTTAAAAAAGTATCCTTAAGTTTTGTTGTTCCTGATAATATTTGTACGATGGACAGTTTTTGTCGGTAGGTGAGTGGTTAATATTATAATTTTTTTTATATCTTTCATTTCCATATCTACAGTTGCAGCATTCTATTGATACATGCTTACAATTTTCTTCTTCGTGACCGTTGCCACAGTTGGCACATATCTTCTCATTCCTGCAATTCTTTTCTGTATGATCAAAACGGTAGCATTTTCTACACTGAGAAATGTCGTTATTTTGATATACTGTCAAACATTGCCATCCCAGAAGTATTCTTCTATTATTGTCTTCGAAGATTTTTTTGAATAGCTTTCCAGAAGTTTCCGCGTAGATAGTGTAATTGTTTCTTGATGGAAAATATTTGATAAACTTTACTTGTATGCCTCCACTCTGAATCATATAATTCAGATGTATAAAATCTTCTTCAATTTGCTTTTCATTCGGTTTCTCACTACTTTTATAATTTATTATTTTAATTTTTGGATTTAACATTTTCGGCTCAGTAACTTGGTATTTTTCATTCAATTTATTTTGAAGTTCATCTTTCAGTTTATTATGGTTTGATTCATCAATTTTTATATCAATTCCGCCATTTTTTGAGTTTCTCACACTTTCTATTTGAATGTTCAGAGATGAAAGATTTATTCTCTTACTCAATTCTCTTCTCGTATTATCGCAAGATTGTTTTTCTTTTGGAATAACTGTGATGCATTTCAGTGATTGCCTTTTAGTAATAGGTGTCGTTTGTTTTAATATTTGTGCGTATGGATTTTCTTTTACTAATTGGTTTTTCTCAACTTCGTCGAGTCTCATATTAATTATTCTATTTAATGCTGATGCTACGGCATCCTTCTCAGTAATACTTGCGGTTATTGACAGTTGCTGCTCTTTTAGTTTTAAATTTTCGTTATTGAGCTGACTAATTATTTCCTCCTTTTCTGCTAGTGTTTTCTTCAGGGATCGATTCTCTTCTAATATCTTTTTTACATTAGTCGAATCAGGTCGATTTTCTTCATCTGTGATGCAGTTTTTTTCATTCTCGGGCTTTTCTTGTTGTTCTTCTTCTTCATTCCTCTTTTTGCGGGTCATGACACTCTGTATAGTAATTTCTTACGTAGTATGGATTAGGAAGAACAAACTGTCAACTTGTCAATTTTACGTCACTCCGAGGTTATATAAATATGGCCGAAAACGACTGAAAACTGTAAAATCCGCTGCACCAATGTATCCAGACCCGTACTTTATCCTTATAAATGGAAACTCTTCGCCAAAAGGTTATTTCATGGACTGTGTACCAACCAAATTCTTGACAAGCTAGGACGAGATCGTTTGCTTGTTTACTACTATGATAGATATTGATATATAAAAACACAACAAAGTTATTGGGCAATTGTTTAATAATGGACATTTGTATGGAGACATTTATTTGGATATGTTGGAAAATACCATCAGTCCGCTTGTCACTGAAACCATTGAAAACCAAATCGAAAAGGTTGGAAATCCTATTCTTGTTGAGGCGGTTCGGCAATGGCTTGACGACGAGTTCCCAGATAAATGGATAGGGCGAAGAGATCCTATAGAATGGCCTGCTAGATCCCCTTATCTGACGCCATTAGACTTTTTTCTATGGTCGCCATTTGAAATCTATTGTGTTTACTTTCCAACTTGAAAGTATGGATGAACTTCCTCGAAAGCTGCCATGATATCCCACAAAATGTTTTTGAAAACGTTCGTCAGGAATTTGAACATCGCCTATATCATTGTTTGGCCAATAACGTGCAACATTTTGAGCACTTATTTGAATAAAAAGTGACATTTTCGTGTGTTTTTGTTTCTGAACAGATTAAGATGAAAATAGATTTTTATAATTTTCTTGAAGACAAATCGACCGATTTTAAAAATGCAACGTCAAAATAAAGGACTTCGAAAGGCCTTTCAAACAAGCTGTTACTCGGTACCCTTTGTAGTTTAAAATTCTTAAGGGTGGCTGAGGGTGAAAGGGGGTGAAGTAGTTTTGGTTAAGTGGTTTTCGATACATCCTTTGTGGGAAGTTTCCAAATGAACATCCTCTATATTCCTCTGAAGCGATGTGGCATCGTATCGACATCGTCCCTGTACGCGTTCGACTTAGTTATAGTCAAATGCCAGAATTGATGACAGTAGCAGAAGTCATCGTGCGCCACTGCTTTGACGCGGTACCTTTTGATTACAGCGACGGTTGCCGACATTTCACAAAGAAGCGCCGCATTTTCGAAGGCTTTCGCGTAATAGCAGTGGCGTACGATGAGTTTCGCTACTGTCATCAATTTTGGTATTATACTATACCTATTGCGTTTGCCACAGTCGGTCGTGGCGCTGAAGACGATACCGCATCGCAGCATCGT